CAGCCTCCCCCCGCGTCCCGGGAGGGGTGAAGCCTGAGGCGCGAGAACCACCTCTGAAAATTTCTCATGTGGAGCAGGCCTAGCCGCACCACAGCATGAGCCGCTGCCATCATTCCCAGCAGGGACCTGAGGCGCCGAGCGGGGACTCTGGGGCCCGCCAGAACCTCCCGGGCCAGACGGGTAATACTCATCCGTCTGTCCACGGACAATGCAGCACGGAATATCACAGAGTCTAGCTGCAGACCGAGGTAAACCATGCGTTGGGCTGGCTGCAGTTTGCTCTTCTCCCTGTTCACCACAAAGCCCAGACGCTGTATGTGGGACAGGACCCAGTGCGTGTGGCTCACGGCCACCTCCCTGGATGGGGCCAGTATTAACCAATCGTCTATATAGGTTAATATTCTTACCCCCGCACGTCTGATCGGCTCCAGAGCTGCTTCCACACATTTGGAAAAGGTGCGAGGCGCGAGTGCGTACCCGAAGGGGAGACGGCAGTACTCGTAATTCCTCTCTCCCACTGCGAAGCGCAGAAACCTCCTGTGTTCTGGCACTATGGGCACGTGGAAGTATGCGTCTGTCAGGTCTATGGAAGTCATCCAGTCTCCTTCCCTGACACACTCGAGGAGCTGCCTTGTGGACAGCATCCGAAACTGCCGCTTGGAAATGCACTCGTTTAACACGCGCAGATCCAGAATGGGACGCACCCCGCCTGATTTCTTTGGCACTAAGAAGTAAGGGGAGTACAGCCCCCTGGTGGCGTCCTGCGGGTCTACCTCCACTGCTGCGCCTCGACTCAGCAGAGAGGAGACCTCCGCTTGCAGTGCCTCTGTCGATCCCCGTACCTGAGAGCGTACTGCCCGTAACGCCTCGGAATGGTGGTGGCTTTCGGAAAAATTGCAGCGCGTAACCTCTGCGCAGAGTTTTCTCCAGCCAAATATCTGTCAATAAGCCCTGCTCCTTCCAGATGCTGTAGAAATCTGTGAGGGGCGGAACGGAAGTTGGAACACGAGACGTCACGGCCCCGCCCCCTCCTGGTGTTCCTAGCAGGGAGGGGGGGTGGCTGAAAGGGCCGGGGGGGCCCCTGCGTCACACCGTGAGCGCCGAGGGCGGTCACGTGTTCCGCAGGCCCGACGTCATAAGTACGGGACTGCTCACCACACGTGACTCGGCTGCTGTGCCCCCCCCTGGCTCTTGCCTCATGGAGGGGGGGGCGAGCCCCTGGAGTGGGAACCCCGTGTTAGCCTTGTTGCTCTGCTCACCACACGTGACACGGCTGCTGTGCCCCCCCTCGGCTCTTGCCTCATGGAGGGGGGGATGAGCCCCTGCATCGGGAAACCCCGTGTTAGCCTTGTAGCTCAGAGATGCTAACACGCGTTCGGCTGGAGCACACACATATATCACTCACCAGATCCCTCCGCCTGCCCTCTCTCCGGGAGGGCAAAACATGAACCCGTGAATCGGAGCCCGTGGCCCGCTTAGCGCGCTGCACGCCCTTCTCTGGGGGCTGCAGGCCTAGCGGAGCCACGTTATATGCTCGAGAAGTAACACAATCAGAATTCAAATCATTTGACATGTTACATACCCCCAAATGAGACTCAGACAGCGAGTACTGATGAAATGCCGGACGGCCTTTATTGAAAACATTTTTCCCACCCCGACCTCCTCTGCCATAGGGAGGTCGTCGGTGGGTGTGTTGGTCCCGCGAACCTCCCGTGAGCCTGTCTGGGCCCGGGGGTCTCGTCGCTGGGGAACGATGGACCACGGAGCGTGGATATGGTCCGGGGCGCCTGCCGGGCGAGCGCTCCCTGCCTCGGTCTCGGCTCCGCGCTGGTGGGCGGGCCTCGCGTCTCGCAGCTAGATGCTTGGCTAGGCTAGCAGAGTCCTTAGCTGCGGTGTCCAGCCTTGTCATCAGCGTCTGCATCTCCGGACCGAAGAGTGACGTTTGGGAGATGGGCAGGTCCAGCAGCTGCCTCTTCTCCGCCTCTCTGAGATTCACCGATCCCAGCCAGAGGTGTCTGGCCCCAACTTGTGCTGCTGCCATCGTGCGGCCGCCATCGACAGCTAGCGCTTGGCACATGCGCAAGATCGCCGCTGAAGTGGTCCTCGCCTGGGATAAGGTGTCTCCACTGAGTGCCTGGTCAGAGGAGAGAGACCTATCCAGGGCCCCGGTGATGAAAGCCATGTTGTTAGCCACCGCGACGACCTGGGCCGCATTGGCGTAACATCTGTCGTGCATCGCCAAAGACGTCCTGTCCCGCTCGGAGGGAAGGAGAGGTCTGGTGCTGGGCCACACGGATGTGGAGGGGTACAGGGCCGCCCGAACCGAGTCCTCGATGTCCGGGACCCCGCCGGTCCAGGACCAGTCCTGCACGTTACAGTACATGCCATACCCCAAAGCGGGCCTCCTGGCCGCTAGGGGCTTTGGCCACTCACGTGTCGCGTAATGGACAATCGGGTCCATACGCGGGCACAACGTGGGCTGGGCTCTCCTCCTCCCTCGAGGGGTGGCGTAACCAGAGGTGAAGTCCTCCACCCTCTGGTTCGGTTGCGGTGGCAGGGGGGCATCCATGATGGCCGCCGCCGTGGCGTAGAGCCCAGGCATGTGGTCCAGCGGGAAGCGGTCCGGCTCCGGGTTGGACACCACCTCGTCCAGCGTGAGGAGAGAGCCGACCTCCGACACCTCTCCGTCCTCGCAGTCACCCCACTCAGCGGGCACGGGTGGAAGGTCGAGGGGGGCCCAGTCAATCGCAGACTCCTCGTCCTGAGAGGAGTCCGGACGGGGCGCTGTAGCGGCGAAGAACGCGCGCCTGCGTTCACTCTCCTCCCTGGGGAGAGCGACACACGAGGCGCAGGTGGCGCTCAACGCCGCATGGCCCGAACCCAGGCACAGGAAGCAGCTGGAGTGCTGGTCCTTGCGCTGGAGCTTGACCCGACAAGTCAAGCAACGACGACGTCCGACGCCGGATGGCGAAGGGGAACTCGGACGAGCATCAGAAGACATCTTTCCTCAGGTAATTGAATGTAGATCTCAATCGGCGCCAGAGTGAAAGAGGGGGTGCGGCCTTGTGCAGGGGCATTTATAGAGGAAGGTGGCTGGTGATTGGAGCAAATTATTTTGATCTCTCTGGCGTGTGACCTGGGGGTCACGAGTGATATCCCACTAGCGAAGTCCTAAGGGACGTAGCACCATGACGTAGAACAGCAGGACACGCTTTGTCGCTGCGTGACGTAAGCTGCGTAACTTGATTTTGATTGACGCTGTCAATGACTGGACAAAATTACAAACGTAATTTAAATATTTTATATTCTCCTAACACAATTTAACAAGTAGTCCTTTTGAATCAAATCAAATGCTAAATCAATATTTAAGGGCTATTAATTAGCTAAATGTTTTTTTGTTTTTTTTTGTTTTTTTGGAAATCATCTTGCGACCCCCCCAAGGGGTTCCCGCGACCCCCCGGGGGGTCGGGACCCCCACTTTGGGAACCACTGGTCTAAACAACAAAGCTACAAGCTTTAAACATTAAGGCTCAATTGACTTTATTACCTTTCCAGGTTGTTCTCCTGATTACACTATTAACAGTTTCATAAATGTCCACTTGAAAGCAGTTTCCACAACAAAAAGGCAGTGTACGAAGTCCACGACTGGCAGTAATCACCCAGCACATCTCTGCAGATAACAAGTCCATGGGATGGAGGTCACCCGGCTCTGTCCTGATCTGACACTGATCATACTCCTGAAACTCCACATGAGGAGTTTCAGGGACAACACCACCAGCGCTCTCATCGCTCACTCATGGAATAACATTTCTCCCAACCAATTACAAAGAATGCCCAGCAGGAGCACATAAAGCCAGCAGATGCCAGCTGATCGATAACCTTCTCCTCCAGGTGGGGGTCAGATGCATCTACACACTGGCGTTTAATCTGGCCGCAGGATCATTTGTTAACTCATCATTCACAGACATGTTACCAAGGTTGTTTAAAGCAACAGAACAGCACGAGCCGATGAATCAGGAGAGGAGTTTACATCAGGAACACCGGCTCCAAACCTGTACACCTAAGGCATTTGTGGAAAGAAATCCCGAAGACAAAGGAATACAATGGAAATAATATTTTAGATACTAATTGAATCATTTTTGTATGGATCTATTTGCATTGTGGTTTTGTACAGAGGTTACCTGCACAAATATGTCTTGGATGCTGCTGTTGGAAATCACTGTCGTGAAATGAAAAAGGGAAAAAAGAGAGTATACCCAGCTGTCCTCTGTGATCATTCATACATGACAAATATAGTAAGATATTGAATAAAGAAAACCCATAACATTTTCAGAACAACATTTGATCCACCCTAATCTGCACCTGTGACTGGTCTCCCTCGGCCCGGACTTGTACCCCTCCCCCCGGCTTCTCAGTCCTGCATCGCACAGCCTCAATCCACGTTCTACAGCCTTTAGTCCTGAATCAATAGCTTGTCCATCTGTGGGAGCAGATCCCCTCTCAATGTGGGCCTCCCCGAGGTTTGTCACCTTTTTCACACCGTTTATATATATATATATTTTTGTTTCTTGTCAATACAAGAGGGTCTATGGACAGTGATGGTTCAGGAAATGAATAGATGTTAATTAACAGTGCAGGACATTGGTCATCCCACTCCCTATAGACCAACTGCTCCATGTGTTGTTATTGCCTTTCCTGTGTTTGAATTGTTTGATTCTCTGATCTGTTGTTGTTGGTGAATCGACTCCGAGACGACTGCTGTTGTGATTAAGGGCTATACAAACGTGAATTGAATTTACAATGTTAAACCTAGCCTAGCTCAGGATGACATCTTCTTATGCTATAGTATATGTGTGATGTGGCAAAATTAAACTTGAAACTTGAAATAATACGTTTGTGAGTATGGTTAATGTAACAATAATACGCCATTGGATTTACTCTTTGAATGTATATAAGTTTGCATCCAATCAGACTCCCCGTTCTGGCAGTTCTGCAGTGACTCACCAGATGCTCGGTGGCTCCGATCCTTCCACCTCCAGATAATCAGACTTCTCCTCCATCTGAAAGTCTGTGAACACCAGGGAGATTGTGTCCCCGGGATCTGCGAGGATGGTCCACTTGCACTCTCCACTGCTGCCCAAACCTCCAACCGCTCCTCGACCACCGGCTCCACCACCAGCCCCAGGGGACAAATCGCCGGAGGGCACATCGAAGCTGGAGATGAGCCCACTGGAGTCCCTCAGGGTGCCCCCACAAGTGTCCTCCGCTGCCAGGCAAAGAGAGAGGGCAGAGGGTGAGGTTTGAGTGGGTTACAGGCACACACTCACAAGGATAAGATAAGGACCCAGAATCTGCATAAAACTTTAATTTAAAAAGTCACAACTACACTCACAAAGCACTTTTTGATTCTCAATCTGTGAAAGACGCTGCATACTTTTCTTGGCCTATTCTCTTACTATAAGTTATTAACAAAGGATTTTTAAACAATATTCTATAAACGTGTCCAAATATTTAAACTAGTGCTGTCCAAAATATCGCGTTATTAACGCATTAACGCAAATCAATATTAACGGCGTCATTTTTTTGATCGCGCGATTTTTTTTTTTTTACTTTTTATTGCAGACAAACACATATACAGAATAAAAAAATAGAAACAAAGAAAAGGACTAGTTCAGATACATTGTAGACAGAGATTACAAACAATGTGTAGTTGGAGATACAGGGGGCCAAAGAAGAAACCCAGAAGGGCACATAGGAGGGGGGGACATGAAGTGGGAGATGGGGGGGTTAATAAAAAAGGCAATACAAGCAAACAGTATACAGTCATAGATATACCAAAAGTAAACAGAGAAACAGCATAGAGTATTTACATGAACAAATTTACAAAATATTTAAAAAAGCAATTGCCTATTCACTTTTTAGTAGTATTAAAATGATAATTCAAGGGACATAAAGAATAGATACAAATGTGTGACTAATTTGCGATTAATCGCAAGTTAACTATGAAATTCATGCGATTAATCGTGATTAAATATTTTTATCGTTGGACAGCACTAATTTAAACATTTTATATAGAATTTTAAACTAACTAGAGTTCTGAAAAATAAGTGTAGCATGAAAAATAATACATAATGCAATTTTTGCTATTTGAATATCGAGGCTAAGAAATGTCAGCTATTTAGCCTAACTGTTGATAAACGTGATATTTTGCATTTCTTCAAAGCAACCATTGCTATTTTTTTTTCTCTATTTATTGATACATTACATGAAGTAAGTAAGTAAGTATTGTTTATTTATATAGTGTATTTTTACAGACCATGGGCACCCAAAGCGCTTTATAATGTTCAGAGTTCAGATATAGTTTTCCATTCTGTCCACACACGGTGATGACGGAAGCGACACCATCACCATCCATTCATTCACTCATTACATTCAGACGCAGACACAGGAACCTACGCAGACACAGGAAGAACATGCAAACTCCACTCGTAAAAGTGATCAGAGAATCAACAGTTAAAACACAAAAAGAATATAGAACACATGTTGATAAATGTCCATACATGTTGTAGAATGCTAAAGTGTACAGCAGGAATCGTGCAGCAGTTTGTGTGAGATTTTAGTGAAGCCCCAGCCTTTTAGTCACGGCAAAGCACATCGGTCTGAAGGAAGGTCCTAAAGCCCAGCAGGGTTTTAATCCGACAACGCATGGTAAAAAGTAATTAATCCAATAAGCGATTGATTGCATGCTCCCAAAGCCACAGGGATGAAGTACATATAAAAAGTATGCTGAATAATAGATTATCATTAGGGTAGTTTTTCACTGCGGTAAAAAAAATGATTGAATCAAAACAATATCAAATATAAAAAAATGTGACTGCTGCAGACCACTCTGGAACCACGAGGCTTGTCCTCAGGTCCTTTTGGTTATGGGACAACAAAAGTAAATGCATTGCTTATATGCATGAGATAATATACTGTAATTCTGAAACATTCATTCAATGGTTTTTCATCTTTTAAAAGCGAGGAGGGGGGTTTCAGGAAAACGTTATAATACATTAGGTTAGGTATACTTCACAGATGTTGAGGGGCTCGGCTTGGTCAAGGCCTCTCGAGCTGGAGAATTGTAACTACTGTATATATAGTGTATATTTTGGGTGGCGTGGAAACCGTAGCGCCTGGAGGAAACCCTGCCTAGACACAGCCAGAAACATACAAACCAAACACAGAAACCGCCTGGCAGAGACCCGCAAAATTCTCGCTCAATGGACAGATGATGCCGTTTTTTTATTTTTTATTTACAGCCGGGCCATTTGAGGACATAAACATCAAACAAAATTGTACTTTAGATTTATTCTCTGAAAGTTTAAGGCGATTAAAGGTTTAAAGTTTTTATAATGGTGTTTTTTTTGGCACAATGTCTTTTGAACTGCAGAAAATAGTGGTGATAAACAAGCCTTCTATGGCAGTGGAATTGTATATTTTCCCAGTGTGTGTGGACCAACAGCACATCCGCTGAATGTTAATGCTTGTGATATAACAGTGGCCTGCTCTTCTCTCACTCTACCCCACTTCGTCTTTTCATATCACGGCCTCCTCTCTCCCCCTCACCCTTCACCCCCGCCTCATCTCACCATCTCCCCAACCTCAATCCATCTCACATTTTTTTCCTCTTTCCCTGAAGAATGCTAATGATGGCAGGGCTTTCACAGTTTTCACATCATTTAAGACTAATATGTGACACTCCGCTGTGCCAGTGGAAACCCTTTTGATAGAGCAGCGGCATTCCTCTCAGGCTTAAAACAGCCTCAAGCATTGCATCTTGCTATTGGTCCAAGGAGTGAGAAGGTGGGTGGATATAAGGCCGATTTAGGACCGGGATGAGCTGGATGCGGAACGTGATTTGTTCCTTTTGACATGGAGGCATTGCCATTGATCAAAGCCATACTGGGAAGATAGAGAGATGGTCAATCGTTCTACTCCATTGATGTCTTCATACGACTCCTGTATTGAATCCTCAGATCAGAGCTGAACCAGAATCTAATTTGGCCGCAACAAAAGCCTACGCACGGAATATTTCAAACCATTAAGTTATTCAAGCAAGACTCCAGACTCAAGATGTGTATGTGAATCTCCACACTACAATAGAGCACTTGAGGACCACAGAAAAGTGCACTAAGAAAAGATGACGGCAACAATGCATTTACTGGCAGTTGACAGAGACTGACCTCTCTGCAGCTTCGCTTTGACTCCAGAGATTTTCAACACAACATGTTTATCTGTTCTTTTTGTTACACTGTTCTGAACATGTAACAAAAGAAAACTGAAATATGTTACAAACAAAATATAATGTCCTGGGAAGACTGAAGATTGCATGAGGAAGTTGTGTGTTATGTATTTGACAAATTTTTTTGTCTTCTTTTTCTCTTGTAAAAAGGTCACAAACCTTCCTTTACACAAATGGTCACAATGCCTCAGTGATTAGAGCACACCAACTGAAAGGTCGACAAATTGATTGTTGAATGGTCCAACGCATTCTGTGGTTATGTCCGCGAGCAAGGCACTTTGTCTGTACCAGGGCTGTCAAACTCCTTTTGAAAGGTCTAAAAATGAAGAAAAAAAATGCTGTTTTTGAGCTCATCTTTTGTATGTGGGACTTTTTAAAATGGTGTTGTATTATGAAGGTATTATGACCAAATGATTTAACTTATTTGACATGGCTTTAGATGTCCTTTTCTGGTAAAAAACAAACAAACATCATAACACAACACCGCTTGCAAGGCACTGGCTCATCACCTTTGACCTGTTTGCCACAGGATAACCTACCATCAAGCCCCAGACCATGTATATAGCTCAAAATATCCAAGTATGCTTCTTAAAAGTGATAATTATTAAAATAAATAAATGCATGCGCAAAAGGAAATTCGGTAACGCTTTGTATTAAGGTGTGCTTGTTAAGTATTAATGAGGTATTAATAGGCATTAGTAACATGCTTATTATTTGCTTTTATGTGCTTATAAACATATTAATAAGCTGCTCATTTCACTATTCTCTAAATTATGTTGTTCTAGTTAAATGCTTTTAAGCATTTAATAAGTAATTAGTAATATACTTATTACAGGAGGAATATGTTTATAGATATATGAATAAGCTGCTTATTAAACTATTATCGATACCATGTTAGTAGGCCGCTGACAATGTGCCTATAAAGATATTAATAAGGAGCTTATTACACTACTATCTAATCTCAGGTTAATAGGCCACTAAAAATATGCTTGTAAATGTGTTAATAAACTGCTTGTTACACTATTTTGCAGTACCCTAATCTAAAGCGTGGACCATACAGTATGTGTTAATACAGAAAAAACACAACCATGATCTAAGATTTTTTTTATTATTCAAACAGCATCAATTCTCTTTTTCTGTCTAACTGTCTTAACTATCACTCAGGAAGTAATAGTGGTTAGTAACTTCTAGGAGCCATGATCATCACACTCATGCTCAGACCTACTTTCATCATGAAAATGTCAATGAAATTTGTGTTTTAATGTAACAACCAAAATAAACAAGAATGCTCAAAATAGTAAATCAACTGAAATACAACTCTAAACTTTTTTTTAAACGAGGGAGATACGCTTTAACATGGACTGAAACTCAAATTTCCTTCCTTACAGATACTACTGGTTAAGTATTACTCCAATAGTAGTACTTTTGGCCCAGTGAAATTATTACATTTGTGAAAGTATATATTTGTATTTCAAATGTAGTGTAGTAATAATAAAGTCATAAGTTCTCCTCAAAAAAAACTACTTAAGTACAGTACAGATCCTCAAAAACTTAAAATTTACTTCATTACAAATCACCACTGCTGACTAATGATACATTTTTGAGATGTCATGAAGAATCCTTCCAAAAGACCATTGTGATGCTATACAGCACAGTACACGTAGTAACCTGAGATTAGATAGTAGTGTAATAAGCAGCTTATTCATATCTTTATCGGAGTAGAGGACGCCGTCATCTACTTCCTGCAGCGGACGCTCTCCCACCTGGAGCCCGCCGGGAGCGCTGTGAGGGTCATGTTTTTCGACTTCTCCAGCGCTTTCAATACCATCAGGCCGGCACTGCTGCAGGGGAAGATGGTGGATGCGGGAGTGGACAGTAGCCTCACTGCATGGACCATCAACTACCTCTCAGACCGACCACAGTACGTGCGGCTGCGCAGCTGTGAGTCGGAGGTGGTAGTCTGCAGCACTGGGGCCCCTCAGGGCACTGTCCTCTCACCGTTTCTCTTCACCATCTACACCTCAGACTTCACACACGACACACACAGCTATTGACACTGTTTCCAATTGACACTTGTCACTTTTGTTGTACATAATTATTGTCAATTTTATTGTATATATATCCTGCATGTAACATGTTTGCACATTTCCTCCTTTTGCACAATCTGAGTGTTTCTATCCATGCCAAATGTGACATGTAAATTTCTCCTATGTGAGATAAATAAAGCACATCTTTTCTTATCTTATCTCTTATAGGCACATTGTCAGCGGCCTACTAACATGGTATCGATAATAGTTTAATAAGCAGCTTATTCATATATCTATAAACATATTCCTCCTGTAATTAGTATCTTACTAATTACTTATTAAATGCTTAAAAGCCTTTAACTAGAACAACATAATTTAGAGAATAGTGAAATGAGCAGCTTATTAATATGTTTATAAGCACATACAAGCAAATAATAAGCATGTTACTAATGCCTATTAATACCTTATTAATACTTAACAAGCACACCTTAATATAAAGGTAAAAATCAAACTAAATAACAAGCTGATACGAGTAATGAGAATTGCCAGTGGTTACACTTTGATCTATAATCATAAGTTAAATCATATGATTAAAAAAACACCCTTGAAACTGTGACACAGTTATTTAAGCAGTTTTAATGATAACGACCTCACACAGAGGTCATTAATGTGTGGCCAATTACACTGCACAAATGAGCAAATTAGGATGAGAGGAGGGCGTTCATTAGCCTTCAAAAACATGGCAGGGTTGATAGTTTACATGTACTTCCAACTGGGACAGAGTTTCTATGCATTTTACAGGACTGTTTAGCATGCATGACATTAAAAAACGAATTCAAGTTTCTGTGTCCAAGCCATTCTCCTCTCGAAGCAATCAATTCTCTCGTGTGTCTGGCATGCATGCCAAGGTATTGATTTACATGAACATAACATAAAGGACATTGTACATGTTTGGTTGTCGTTGGTGATGTGTTCTTGCATCTGCCTTCTCCTCAGCAGAGCCTCAGACAGAATGAAACAATAGACTGAGATTCTAGTTTGAGTATGTTCATTAAGAGGTGATTAGTGCAAGTACAAGAAGGCTGCTAAAATGCTTTGGTGTTATAGGATAGATGCTAGAATATGGATTAAACCGACCTTACCTGGTACATTTGCATCAGCCGCATCAGCTCTCTAATACGACTTGAGGAGGGATTAGACTCACTCCCCTTGACTTTGATCAGATATAAAACACTTGTCTTTCTACTTAGAAGAGTCCCCCCAAAGGAGAGAGGAGTCGGAACTCATGTATAATTTCCAACAGAACCCCAGGTTTTTTCCTCTGTAATCATCTTTTTGTTAATGCAGGGCATGGAGCTGGCTACAGCGGGCTCTTCATTTCAGCAGTATGATGTGTTAAACATTGAACAGGAGTCTGTGAATGGTGCAGAGAATAAGACCACATTCCACTGAATATGTTCTAATTCTAACAGTCATTTCAGGAGGAAAAAAAACACTGAATTATCATAGACATTGTGCAAAAGCAGAGAGTTTTAATCATGAACTTAATGTCATTTACAAATAGGTAAGATATGCAGTATTGTAAAGAAGAATAATAAAAAGGCTAGAACCCTTTTGCCATACTGTGGAAATCACTCGATGAGTTTGTATCGTCACCCCATGGATGAGGTGACACACTGTAAAGTAGTAGTAGTAGTAGTAGTAGTAGACAATAGACGACAGAAAGCAGAGGCTGAAGACCCAAAGAAGAAGTGCAGCGCTGGCAAACGATACATAGGATGATTAAAGCTATGGTGCTCCAACATCTATGTTGGTTCCATTGCACTAAAGCACATTAGAGAGGTTTTTCTGAGTCCTCACTTTCCTTGTGCTGGAGCTCGTACTGTCTTTATGTGGCCATGCAGCCGCATCACTGTATTCTGTCTCACTGCCCGCTTTAATGAATGTCCAGAGACAATTTCGATGAAAGTAATCAAAATGAGGTCTTCTGGGGCATGGGTGCAACTCCCAATTACAATATCCATTTATTCTGGTCCTACTGGCCCAGATAGTGCTTGTCTAACCCTTTCAAAATCAATTCATATGCGACATTTCACTATATTCAATTGAAGTCTACCCACTTCCTATGATCAAAGTAAGTACTTCAAAAACATGCCACTATACATGTTTCATATATACATTTTATTTGTCCCAACAGAAAGAGTTGTATAAAAGTAACATTTTAACTAATATGCTGTGTATCTCATTGGAAAATATTGTAATTTTTAATTACTAAGAGCTTATTAACAGAGGGGGGCTGGTACTATTTTCTTAACTGAAAAGGTTGATCTGCAAAAGAAAGCCAAAAAGAGATTCAGGTGATATGACAGAACAGTTATTTTAACAGTTTTTTTTTGGTTTAGGTACTCAAGCTTCACCATTTCTACACTTCTGTAATCCATTGATATGAGCCTTTAAACACGGATACTTTAGGTTCCGTAGGAGTCAGCTGCCCTGGCTATCTTTTGAATGGTCGAAGGTCCTCGAGATGGTGTCGATAGCAGTAAACAGAAACCCGTTAAAACACACTGGACAATACTGCGAGCGGCCTTGGAAAGCCTGCATGAACATAAAAGTGGAATGACGCCACAAAAGGAGGTGGAAGGTTGAAAGAGCGAGCTAATGGGAGAGCTGGAGCAAGCACACAAGGACCAGTCTGTAGTGAAGAGTATTGTGTGAAACAATGGACAGAAAGGCCAGCGTCTCTCAGGAATAAGATCAAAGGAGCATCTGCTTGCATAGAGGATTTAGAAAGTGGCTGGGCAGTGTGTGGGGCCAGGCCAGGAGACATGTTGGTGCGTCTCTGGCAATGAAAGCTAACACCGTCCTTAAAATGGACAGAGCCTTATTCCATCCGCTGCATTTTGTTTCCTCGGAGCATGTCACTGCCTTAGCATATGCTCCACCACTTCCTTTCTGCTGCGGTCGGCATTCGCGAATGAGTCGGCAAGTGCAAATTTGTTCTGCTGGCTTTGGGATTGCTTAGGGATGTATATCTAGACAGTGGGCTTCTCTCGGTTAATCCTCATATACTGTTTAGATGACGAGGCACTTCTTCAACTATAGCAATCTGAAAATATGTGCAATTTGGCCAAGACTTCAAGTGTTTGTGTAGTTACTTTACCTAATGCACTTTGATCGTTATTCATTGGCTACAAATGAAGGTCTGTCAAATAAAAACTATGAAGGGATAGGTTTACATCAGAGGTCTCCCAGTTTTAAAAGGCAATTAATAATCAGTCAGTTTGGCCATAAACTGTAGCACAAAAAAACTCAGTCCTCAAAGGGCTGGTGTAGCTGAAGGTTTTCATTCCAACCAAGCAGGAGCACTCCAAACTGGACTTAGTTGAGGAAATGGGTAGAGTCTGGAGTGCTCCTGCTTGGTTGGAATGAACACCTGCATCGACTTGGCACTTTGAGGACTGAGTTGAATATTCCTACTTAAGAGTTTGAAGGAATAGAAACACTTGAATAGTAATAAAAATTGCGCAGTCTAAGAAAATTCACTTTGTGTTCACTTCACTTCAATTCCGTCATGAAAGACAAGGTGTGCTAACATTAGAAGCAAAACAAAATGAAATAAAACCTTAATCCCAGCCATATTAAATACCCAGTATTATGTGGCACCCATTTTGAAATACTGCCCTACAGGAATTTATTTCATTAACTTTGCTCGGCTCCAGTCAATGTCTTAAGTTAAAATCAGTTCAATCTCACGAGTTTGGAATTAAATCAATATATCAAATTAAGACATGCATATTTAACTGCGGGGTAGAGCAGCTACACACACTATTCTGCTGTCAGTCACTGCACTGCAATTAACTTCAAAAGTAATGCTGGGAAATCAAGCAGCGATGGGTAAAGTGAAACAATAACCTGTCAATCTGACATTTCTTCGGGGAAACATGTAGTAATTCTAACTCTACATACACACAGTAGTTTAAACTCACAAATCACTTTGATGTGTTTGGAAATGTGATGGCTGTAAAAATCATGCATCAAATTAGAAATCCATGGAAATGTGAAAGCCATTCATGCGTTTACTGTTTCCCCAATGTCATTTAAATGTAATATAGTGTATTCAATTGATTTTATGGGAGCAACAAGATGCTTCAGAGTAAAAATATGCAGCAAACTTTGATTAGTTCTACCTTCACACGCATCATAAATCAGTAGGGGTGTAACAAAACATTTTTGGAGTTGAAGCTATGGGATAACCCTAACCACTGCAGAAGTGATAAGTGAGTGTGCAGGCTTTGGCTCTACAGTGGAAATAATGTCATCATCGGTCTTGTATACTTTGTCTTTGTAGCTGATCAGGGCAAATGCCAGGGTTTGCAAAGTCATTTGCACAAATGAACCGTATTTAAGAGCCTGCATCACTTCAAAAGGGACATACCGACCTCACCCTTGTGGTGAACTGATCCAATGCTGCATCTCCTGTCTGTACCCCACGCGCGCCAACGTGCACCAATCAATGTAGGATTATAAGGGAAGTATTGATTTAACAAATAGGTCAAATTGCACCTCTATAGCTCAGTTTTCTCCAATGTGAAAAAGTGTTATAAGCACATACGCCGGGGAGCATGTAGTGGAAACAACATTCCATGCATTATAGTTTACAGTGAAGTTTGAAGTGTGGTGGTCTCACCTCTGCAGAGGGGCACAGGGAAGTCCCACACAGACACGCCTCCTGCATTCCTCACACAGGTGAGCAGGGAGTGACCGTCCAGCACGTAGCCACTCACACACCGGTACTTTATCTTATCTCCCACGTTAAACTGGGTCCCATTTAAAATGCTTTTGGGAGGAACCCCTGGGTTACCACAAGCACTGCTTCTGAGTTCTGAAACAGAAAACAACAAAAAAGGAATTAAAACAAATATTTAATGATACATGCATATTACAAATTATATATATTTTTTAATCATACAATCCTCTGCGCTTCATCATGTAGCAGTGCAGAGTATACCAGGTCTACTCCCCCCAGAATTACTCAGAACAACACCAGTTTGTTTATTGCAGCAATTAGATGCTATTTTAAACCATTCATATTGCATTTAACAGATGCTTCTGAGCCTCGTGGCAATTTACACACAAATAATCCAAATTGTAAATGAGCAAAGCAAAGGCAGCTAGAAAATGTGTTCACAGAGTACAGTAAATATGTTTTACAATATTTAAAGTAAAATTATGAAACACAAAAGTAGATACAAACAAAACGCAGTAATTGGAACAAACACGCCGATACACAAATCGCCCAGAAGCATTTAAAATCACAGAATATTGTGAATTTTATTGACAAATTAAGATGCATGGCAGCGTTTGTGAGGGAAAAATCAATGGAAGTTAATAAGACTGGAAAGATGTGGTGTTGGCCTGTTGATAAGATGAGCGTTCCTTTCCGTCCTTGAGCTTGAACCTAAAATAATGTGATTTAATAATATATGAAATCCATTACATTATGTGAACTACCACAGCGTGATATTATTTACATCTCAGACTATTGTTTGTGGGTGTGCTGTTTTTAGCTCACGTCAATATTCATGTTTCTTACAGCTTGAACAAACTTCCATGAGTGAGTATGCCCAGGGTGCAGTGAGAATTCTGGCACCATGTAGTCTATGTCTCTATAGGCTCATGGAGGCTGTGAGATGTTGATGTATTTGCTTGAATTATTAAATGCACAGGGTTCAACAAAGTGTAGCTAAACACATGAAAAGAAAATCTAAATATTTACAGACCCCCTGGATACAGAGGACAAAACAGCTTCAACTTTAAAACCACGAGCATAATGAAAATAATCGTGACGGTATGAGGCCAAATGTTTACTTTACCATCTGTGTTAATCAAATCTAACCCTCAAGCATATTTGTACAATAGACCAATCATGGACAGTATCCCCATAGACATTTAGAGAACCACAAAACAAACTGACTGTTATAGGAGCAGTCACAACAGCCAAGTAATAGGCCCAGTTTAAGCTATGTCAACAACATTCTACAAAGTTTATGATCACTGCCCTGCAAGAAGAGCCAAATGCCCACTGAATACATGCTGCTGAAAACACTGAAAAAGGCTGTTAGTAAGTAAGTAATGTTTATTTATACAGCGCATTTTACAGTCCAAGGTCACCCAAAGCGCTTTACAATGTTCAGAGATTGTTCCAATCATTCCACACACGGTGATGACGGAAGCGAGTTGCCGAACACACTGGCGCATCAGCCCCAATCAACACCATCCATTCATTCTCTCATTTACATTCATTATTGTCCATGTTTTTAGTGGTAGGGGAAACCGGAGCACCCGGAGGAAACCTACGCAAAACATGCAAACTCCTCTCAGAAAGGCCCTGTTCCGACCAGGATTCGAACTCAGGATCTTCTTGCTGAGAGGCGAGAGTCCTATCCACTCAGCCACCGTACCGCCAGCAACAATGGCTTAGCAATTATTTTCGTAGTTACTTGTAATCTAATGCCCAACAGCAGAAAAGCAAAACCACAAGTCATGCAGTACATAGATATTCTGGCAAAAAAAATAAAAATAACTTTGCTTAGTACTTCCCTACTAGCTTCTACTGTTAGAGCTGCATCATGTGGGAAACAATAAGAGGTGAGTGGATAGTATATTGTATGTTTAATAAATGGCTATAGCCTTAACATGGCTCTATCCCTGAAATACTATATACCACGCTCTCCTCCCAGTATTTCAGTATTCACTAACATTGTACATCCAACCTTCAAACACATCCTAATTTTGATGACCTTTTACTTAAAATTTTACATAAGGGGGCCTTTTTTTAGGAGAAAAGGATTCATATATTTGAATCCTGTTTGACCTTGTAGTGACCCAGTGGTTGTATGAGTGGTCAGCATTAGAGTTGTCACAATTTAGATTTTTTTATCAAAATCGATTGAAATTATGTCAATTATGTCGAGCATCAAAATCAAAGAGGGGATTGACGATAATTGTAGTGTTTATTGTGCCTTTGCGCACGTGTCCGGAACAGTCATGGTAAATCCGGACTATTTAAAGTGGCAGACTGCACTTACGTTTTTTTTTCCGTAAACAAGAGCGCATTAAAGTTACATGCTCTCGTGAGTAAGTTGTACCCTAAGACTGAGGAGGCAGCCGGCAAGATCCAATTTTTTATACAAACTTAATCAAATGTAGGATTTGGAGAATCGTGACACCTCTAGTCAGCATGGTGCTTTTACTTTCCATCACTGTGGTCTATAGCAGTGTTTTTCAACCAGTGTGCCATGGCATGTTTGTGTGTCCTGAGATGTTGTTTGGTGTGCCTTTGAAAATTTGAAAATCACCTCACTAGTTAAAATATTGTGACAATAAAGTAATGTGAGAAGATTGGAAAGATTAGTTTGATTTTCTATATAAAAAATAGGGCTGTCAAAGTTATTGTGTTAACGCGCGTTAATTAATTGTGTTCATTAATTGCGTAACAAAAATTAACGCTTTTAACGCATGTGCAAAGTGACTGGCACCCCGCGCGCGAGTGACCGGGGGGCAATTGCTGTGAATGGGAGTCCGCAGCGTTCTTGGGCAGCTGCGGCCGCTTTGGACAGCGGTTCCCGCGTCCTGCAGCTGTGAGCAGCTTTTGTGAGCGGCTTGCAACAGCACGGGAGCGCGCAGCCGTACGTGGCCATGTACCCAATGCCATATACACGCACACAACCACTGTGTGCACTGATCACGCACAGGACGCACAATAAAAGCAGTGCTGCAAGAAACAGTCCGTCTCCCCCATGTCTTCTCCCGAAGCGAAAAAAAATATGCTTAATTAAAGCTGGGGTACCTAACTTTTCCTTTGCAGTACCATTTATGTTGTTTTTGCCCAAAGTGAAATGTTGTGAGCAAATCAAACAGATTTAATGACAGCCATTGATTGAAATGCATTTCAGACTTTTTTCAAATGTCTCTCATCCCCGTAACAAACAATAGTTTGTAGAGGCACAAATTATGTAGAGGATCCACAGCCTTTATGAGACTGAGAAGAAGAAGAAAGAGGAGGCTTTAGCAGATGCGGAATATGTCAAGCTGAAAAAACAGTGTCTACTACAGAAAGACAGAATGTTAATGATGTTAATGCCATTTTATGTGGATTTATTGTTATCAATCAATCAATCAATCAACGTTTATTTGTAGAGCGCCTTTCCTACACAAGGCAACGCAAAGCGCTTCACATCCCCTATCACATCATGCATAAATCAAACACATTAAGAGCACAAGATATATTAAAAACATTAAAAATAAAATCACAAAAATTAAAAACCTTTAAACATTAAAATCACAGATGGGACTAAAATCATAAATAGTCACAGTGCATTAAAAAGATTAAAGATAAAAACAAAGATGAAAAGATAAAATCATTCAGTTGTATATGCGCAGCTAAACAGAATTGTTTTGAGCCTAGATTTAAAAGATGCCAGAGTAGACGCCTGTCTCACATTCTCAGGAAGACTGTTCCAGACTCTAGCCGCATGAATCTGAAATGCAGTTTGCCCATGTCTAGTACCGACTCTGGGCACTAACAGGAGTCCAGTCCCTGTGCTCCTCAGAGTCCGGGTCGGTTCATATGGCACAAACATGTCATGGATGTACCTTGGCGCGAGACCATGGAGAGACTTGTACACAAGTAAAGCTGCTTTGAAGTCTATTCTCTGAGGAACAGGAAGCCAGTGCAGAGACCTGAGGACTGGACTAATGTGGTTGTACTTCCTAGTTCTGGTCAGGACTCGAGCTGCTGCATGTTGAATGTACTGCAGCTGTTTTACAGCCTGTTTGGACAGACCTGTGAGCAGGCCATTGCAATAGTCTAACCGACTGGAGACAAAAGCGAGTCTCCAAGTCTGCCTTAGACACTATGTTTTTAATTTTAGCAATGTTTTTTAGGTGGTAATAAGCTGCTGATGTTACAGATTTTATGTGGCTTTTGAAATTTAAGTCTGAGTCCATTATCACTCCTAGATTTCTGACCTGATTTGAGGGTTGTAAAGAGAGAGCCTGGAGGTGACAAATAACGCTCTCTCTTTGTTTCTGGGGTCCGAAAACAATTATTTCAGTTTTGTCGGTGTTTAGTTGGAGAAAGTTATTTTGCATCCAATCACCGATTTGCTGGACACAGTGAAGGAGCGAGTCCACTGGTTCATGCTCTCCTGCTGTCAGGGACACATAGACCTGAGTATCGTCAGCGTAATTGTGATAAGAGACATTATTACTGTGAATCAACTGACCTAGAGGCAACATGTAAATATTAAACAGAAGAGGACCCAGGATTGACCCCTGTGGCACTCCGCAGGTCAGGGCCAAGTGGTCTGAGGTACAGTTTTCGATCTCCACAAAAAACTTTCTGTCTTGTAAATAGGACCTAAACCAGCTTAGGGCGGTGCCAGCAACACCAACCCAGTCCTCAAGTCTCTGAATGAGGATGCCATGATCAATAGTGTCAAAAGCAGCACTTAAATCTAACAGAAAAAGGACTGAGACTTTTCCTGCGTCAGTGTTTAGTTTGATGTCATTTGTTACCTTTATTAGCGCGGTCTCAGTGCTGTGGTGGGGTCTAAACCCTGACTGGAACATATCATAAGCGTTATTGATTATTAAAAATTCTGTAAGTTGTTTATAGGCAACTTTTTCTAGAATTTTTCCCATGAAAGGCAGATTTGAAATGGGCCGATAATTTTTGAGTGCCAGGGCTTCCAGACTCCTCTTTTTTAGGAGGGGCCTGATGACCGCCGTTTTCAAGGCCATTGGGAATGTTCCAGATTCAAGAGACATATTAACTATTTGTGTAAGTGAAGGTAAAAGACTGCTCAGAACTGACTTGAGAAATCTAGGAGGTAATACATCCAGGCTGCATGTGGAGGAACTCAGACTAGTGATTATCTCCTGGACAGTTTCAATTTGTACTGGTGTAAAGTGCGTCAGCCCAAAAAGCCTCACTGGCGGTTGGATTATTATTTCTATCGTGGAGGTGATGGCGTTTTTGATACCTTGGACTTTGTCATTAAAGAACTGAGCAAACTCATTACATTTAGATTTGGAAGTAAGTTCTGATGGCATCTTAACAGGGGGATTCGTCAATCTATTTACTGTTGAAAACAGAACACGTAGATTGTTGCTACAGCCTTCAATAGTTTCAGAAAAGTACATTTCCCTCGTTCTACGTAGTTCTCTGTTAAAATTGCACAACGCATCTTTGAAGATCTCATGGTCAACTTTGAGATTTGACTTTCGCCACTTCCGCTCGGCCTTCCGGCACTCTCTCTTCTGTGCCCTGACCGAGTCTGCTTTAGTCCATGGCGCTTTTTGCTTGTTTGTAACTATTTTAACCTTTACAGGAGCAATTGTATCCAGAACATTCAAAACAGTGGTGGTGACAGAATCAAGTAATTCATCTACAGTAACACACAACGTGTTCTCAAAGTTTACCCTCCCCATGAACAGTTCGCCTGTATTATCATTTATGTGTCTTCTTCTAACAACCGAAGATTCAGCTGGTGGTTTACAATCAAGACACATGTAAAAAAATACACAGAAATTATCAGACAGAGCAACATTGACCACATTTACATTTGAAATATTAACCCCCTTGGTAATTAACAGATCGAGAGTGTGTCCTCTGCTGTGGGTGGGGCCACTCACATGCTGAGTGAGACCAAAGGTTTCCAGCACAGAGCTCAGCTCTATTGCATATCTATCATTAGCATTATCTACATGTATATTGAAATCACCTACAATGACCAAACCATCAAAATCTGTGCACACAACTGAAA